AAACAAACAAAAAGAATAAATAGATTTCAGTCATTTTTCATATGGATATTTAATAATATTGACTATAACATTCATATATGATATATGTATATGTGTAAGATACAAAATTTTTGATGTATATGACTATATTTAATTTATTAGTTTTAGAAAATATTACAAAGTACACATTAGCCTTACTTGTCAGAAATTTTGGCAGAGGTATTTTTCTGAAGAGAAAATGTAAAAGCTATCCCACCCAGGCAACTGGGCTTAAGGATGCTATTCAGTAGACTTTTTTTTTTTTTTTTTTTGAGACAGAGTCTTGCTTTGTTGCCCAGGCTAGAGTGAGTGCTGTGGTGTCAGCCTAGCTCACAGCAACCTCAAACTCCTGGGCTCAAGCAATCCTCCTGCCTCAGCCTCCCGAGTAGCTGGGACTATAGGCACGTGCCACCATGCTTGGCTAATTTTTTTGTTATATATATTAGTTGGCCAATTAATTTCTTTCTATTTATAGTAGAGATGGAGTCTCGCTCTTGCTCAGGCTGGTTTCGAACTCCTGACCTCGAGCAATCCGCCCATCTTGGCCTCCCAGAGTGCTAGGATTACTAGACTTTTCTATTCCAGAAAAATTGTGGGAAAGCGGATTTATAGTAGATCCTAGGAGAGCAGCATCTTAGCCTGTTCAAGGAAACTCTTCCTAGTTTCCCTGGGGTTTGGTTCCATATTCTGGACTTGCTATTTTCTCTAAATTATTCATAGCTAAGCCTCCAATAAATACTGTAAAGGGACCAATAGCCATGAAATCTGGATTATTTTACATAAGAAATAGTACATCAAGATTTCCTGAGTTATAAAAAACAGGATGCTGTAGAACTTTTGTTTAACATAAAAATGTCTTGTGACTGAATATCCTGAAGGCTGCATTTCTAACCCATCACTTTTAGAAATGAGAGAGTCAGTAGTGTGAAAAAGCCCTGTACCAGGAGGCAAAGATCACCTCATGTTGGCTCTTGGACGCGACTTATTCATAATTTGGCCCAATCTGCCAGTTTACAGACCTGCGTGTGAACTAGACCCAGCGTGGGGGAGTTATGCATGGCAAAGCTAGGAGAGAACCAGGTCAACTATCAGGCAATTGTTTTAGATTATCCTTCATATGCTCCAAAAATATGAATTTCTTTCTGCAGAGAAAAGTAAACTTTAAAAGGCACAGCGGCAAAAGCTGCTGGGATACCCAGCTTATGCTGCCCCTAGCAGTGCCCCAGGGGCTCTTGCCCCTGGCTGCCTAATCCCCTTACACTTTTCAGCCTCCCTTCCTCGGAGAGCCTTGCCTGTGTTCTTGCTTCTGCATGGAGCAGTCTCCCCTCGCAGCTCTGTGATTAACTCCTGCTCAAACTTGTGGTCAAGCTGCACTTTCTCAGGGAAGTCATTTCTGATCGCTCTGACCAGGAACAATTTGCATATCACAGGGTACTCGTAGATCCAACTTTACATTCGTTTATTGGATTATTGGATTGTTTACTCTCCCTCTCTGCTGTAAACTCCAAAACAGTAGACATAGCGCCTGGAACAAACCAGAAGTTTGATAACTATTTATTAGATGAATGAACAATAATCTGACATAAAAGTTGCTTACACGCTGTCCAGACTGACCAGGTTTGTGAAGGCTTCTCAAGCCCTGGTCTCAGGCTGCTCGATGTCCTGCAGCCTGTGTAAGAGGAGGTCCCCACTGCTACGTGCTGGGTTCACTGGGACATGCTCCCGGACACTTGCCTGGATGCCTTGGGAGCCTAGACCACTAGGCTGCCGCTACTTCTCTTTACATTGTCTTTTCTACACACCAACCTAACACACGAGCTCTTCTGAAGGTTATGGAAAGCAATTTCCATTTAATTCCTCTCAAGTCTCAGTTTCCTATTTCATGGGGATCAGGGACTTTGTTTTCAAAATGACATTAACTTTCTGGGGTCTAGGTGGTCATTAGACAAATGTGTCCATTGAGTAATACACTTATAATTTGTGTACTTTTCTGGAAATGTGTTATATTCCAATATAAAACTTGAAAACATTCGAAAAAAACCTTAATAACAACTTATATAATAATAATAATAAGAGAGACAGAGCAGACAGAGAAAAATAGAAGAGAGAGACATAGAGAGAAATCAAAAAGGGCCATGATAAGGGTTGAAGAGATGAATCATTGACTAGCCACACTAAGAAATATTATTATACAGACAACAGAATGAACAGGATCAATTATATACGCTAACCAAAGAGTATGTTCAATATTCACTTGTTACGGCTATTCATACAGCAATATATTGCTGAGACAGGAGTCAGATATTCTGCAGACAGGCAGGCAGGGCAGGGATCAGAAGGAGAAGGCCCATAGGATAAGAAAGTCGCAGGAATGTAAATTTGCTTAGCTTAGATAAACATAACCCATAGGGACACGTTAGTGATTTTACTTTAGTCTTAACATTTTTATCTAAGGTAAAAAGGAGAAATTCCTTTAACTGGGCCATTCGCACAGTTGAGGCCACCCTGTCCCTAAATGAACAACCCTCATTAACATAGTAAAAATCACACCCACCAGCGCCATGACAGTTTACAAATGCCAATGCGCCATGACAGTTTACAAATGCCAAGTGGCGACTCCCAGAAGTTACTCCATAAGGCCAAGAAAGGGGAGGGTTCCCAGTTCTATGAACTCTTCACTTTTTTCCCAGAAAATCCATGAATATTCTGCCCCCAGTTTTGCATATCGTATTTAATATAAAAGAATGGACCTTAACCCTGGAGGGACACCATTCCTTCTTGGATCAGTAGGCTCTTGCCGTTCCTTAACAGTGTACTCTGCTTTCAATAAACCTCTCTGCTTTTGCTCATATCTCCTATCCGAACTCTTTTCTCTCACTCGTGCCCCTGTGCTTGAATTCCTTCTTGCATGGAAGGCAAGAACCCTCTCTGCTGTTGGGCAGTGGTCCACCCCAGTATTACAGTGATCCTATATAATAAAAAAAGAAAAGTCTATGATATGCAATAACTTGAGATTTATTAATGTGTGTTTGTTCCCTGTCTTTTCTTTCCACTTATACTCCCTATTACAGAAAATTATGTTTTTACTTTTTAAGTTTCATACCTCATTTCCTCCCTCCTACACAAAATCAATAGATTGGGCTGGAGAGAGAGAGTTAGAACAACTGGAGAGAAGAGGAGAGGATTTTGCTCCCCAGTCAATTACTGTGAGACAGATAATGCCAAGATTGGATAAATATAGAGAAAATTAACAAGGGAGCCAGACAGATGAAAACTATGTAACCAGGACCAGACCCAGCGGGATGGGAGAGGAAAGGATAGTGAGCAAAGGGAGAAAGAGATTGAAGGAGCCACAATGTCTGGATATTAGAGAACATTTGGGAGGTTAGTGAGAAGCTGCTGAGTAGCTGTGGAATATGAGAGAATTGAAGAGGAAAGAAGTGGGATTTTTAGAAGTACATAATGGTTTATCAAGAGAATTTCCTACAATATTTCCTAATACATCAGTGCTGGGATGGGCTTTTTGGATACCATTCTCTGCAGAGACTAGGCCACAGGAAGCTTCAGGAATTATTTAGCTCTATGTGGTTTACGTATAAGCAATACTTAGACAAAAGTCTAGGTAGATATAATCCAAACTGAGTAGAGTCATCCCTGGAAAAGAGTGTGGAATTGGAAATTGGCAGGTAACTTTTAATTTTTACCCATAAACTTCTGCACTATTAACATTTTTACATAGCTCATGCTGCTTATACAATATTTAAATGATAAGTATAAAAAAGCATCACGTGTTCATGCTAATAGCAGAATAGGCAGCACTCCATCTTCCTGCATTACAGGGGCTGCTTGGTGGTGCAAAAGGAAGGCATGGTTGTAGGCAAGGCTGTTCCAGCTCTGGGTGGGATTCCAGTGACTGGGCTGTGAGGTTAGGGGTCTGGATGGAGAGATGGAGGATGATTTTTGGAGTTAGAGGTATTTATACATTCAAAGACAGCAGAGTAGTGTAGATGACACTTTGCTAGCACCCCAGGGTGAATCACCAGATGGCTTAGAAGCAAACACACTCTTCCCCGCTCTTGTTCATTCATTTGTTTATGTATTTATTTATGCATTCACCGGACATACTGTTGTCTACATACCAGGTCTTATAGGGTTGTTTTGAATAGTCATTATCACTCTAGCTTTTTGTTTTAATGTGTGTGTTTTAGAGACTCTAGTTACCCCAGACTTTCCAGAGCTAGCCAAGCCGTGGAGAAGGAAGTGCTAATGAGGATGGGTGATTGGCCTGGGGCCCGCCTGCTCCTCCCATAAGGTTCATCTTCCTCTCAGAGGTGGCTCACTTCCTACCAGGACCACCTGGGGAATATCTACCCACTTTGGGGGAATCCTGGCCTCTTCTCTCAGGCCTCTACCCTATGTTTTCCTGAGGGCAAGCCTATCAGATAAGAAAATGTAATCCATAAAGTCTACTGTGGGTTCAAGCCACTTGTATAGCAGTAGGAACGTCACCCAGTGATGCTTCTGAGCAGATATGATTTCCTATCCCTTCAACATCCCAGAGGATAAACTCTGAGTTTACATATAGCCATGAGGGCCTCATCATGGCCAAAGCCTTTCTGCAAATTAATCAGAGGGCAGGAAAGAAGCAGCCCTCAACCCCCATATCTCCTCCTCAGATGCTGCTAAATTACATGGGGAAGTTTATTCCCAAAATTCTAGAAAGCATGGGATCCCAGAAGCTCAGTCTGCTTGTTCATGTTCACGCAGATCTTTCCTCTAGTTGAGAAACAAGAGCAGAAGAACGTCTGATAAAATAGCATGAACACGGACCAAAGAAATAGACAGGAAGTTACCATGAATTGCATTCAGAGCTTTATTCTTGCCAAAGTTTGGAGGTTGCGCTCACTCTGGCAGGCTGCCTTGGTAAAGAAGCAAAGCACAGAGGTGAAGCGATGAGGGTCTACATCACTGGGAATCGCAGGGAGGGGCCAGAGGCTGGTGGATGTGCCGGAAGGCATAGCAGCAGGACAGCGAATTCTGGAGCGGGGCTGTCCTGTGTTTTAACAACAGCAGTCATCCTCGTGGTCGCAGCATGCAGGACCTCGGGACCTCATGGGGATGATTCCCAAACAGCAGCACCCCCCGGAGCCACAGCACCCGGAGCTGCCACACCCACAGCCAGAACTGCAGCCTCCGGAGCCGCAGCAGCCGGAACTCTCACAGCAACCAGATGATCCCGTGTTGCAGCCCTGGGGCCGCTGGATCCAGCGTCTCAGGGGACTCACCCCGAAGGTCCGGGGAGCCAGGCAGCAGTAGCTGGTGGAGCACGGTGCAGAGCATGGGTCAGGGGCACAGGACAGGCTGGCTGAGCCACCTGCAGGAGCTTGAACGTAGTAGCTCTGAGAAGAAGAAGGGTACTGGACATAATATGTCTGGGTCTGGGTCTGGCAGGGAGCCGGGCATTTCACATACGTCGTCTGGCATGGAGGTGGGCACTTCACGTATGTCTGGCAGGGAGCTGGGCATTTCACGTAGGTTGTCTGGCATGGAACTGGGCACTTCACATACGTCTGGCAGGGAGCCGGGCATTTCACGTAAGTTTTAGTCTGGCATGGAACTGGGCACTTCACATACGTCTGGCAGGGAGCCGGGCATTTCACGTAAGTTTTAGTCTGGCATGGAACTTGGTACCTCACATAGGTTTGAGCAGAGGCTGGAGCGGGGCCTAGAGCGAGGCCTGGAGCGGGGCCTACAGCGAGGCCTGGGGCAGCGGGGGCTGGAGCAGGGCCTGTCACAGAGACGACTTGGGTCTGGCTTGGAGCTGGGCCTGTCACCAAGGCACCTGTGGTACCTTGCCCAGCCCCCAGTCCCGAACCTTTCACACAAGATGGAAAGAATTGTGGCTGCTTCTGCTGGTCACACATTTTTCTGGGGCTTTGCAAAATCTGGAAAAGAGAGATTTCATCAGAACTGTGAAACTAGGAAGGTTTCCAGGGAAACCTTCAGTATCCCCTTTGGACAGAGTGATTGGTAAACAGTGGCCTTTTTTTGACAAGGTCTCAGACACCCAGAGGCTGCATACGCAGCAGAAGAGTAAACTCAGAGCCAGGGACTCTAGGCTCAGCTTTTGTAGCTTTGGACAAAAGTCACTGGTCACCTCTGGGCCTCGATCTCCACAGTGGGAAAGGAAGAGCTTTAAAGAGTGAAGTCTGCATTTCTGCCCAGCTCTCCAAGCTTCTTCTAGTCTTACTTACTTCAGTCTATAATTGTGAATTAACTGGGGAAATTGATGTTCCCCAGTTCACTTCCCCCTGCCACCAATTCTCTGCCACCGATTCTTTCCAGGGTGGCTTTCCTTCTTCCTGCCTTCCAGGGAGTACCCAGGGAAGGCAAATTTATGTCAACAGACCCTGAAGCAACATGACTCTCCAGCTGTGCCTGACAAGGAGCAAAGATCAAGGCCAAATTTGAGCAAGTTTCTAACCATTTGCTCCTTGGACCACCTGGTCCATCACTTCACCTCATGAGCACATGGACCCAAGAGAAGACTACACATCTGCATGGGGAACTCAGTTCTCTGAAGTCGCTTCTCACACGGGACTACCAGTTCTTCTTGTACCTCTCCCCCTCCTCCCGCACCCCAGGCTCCATGCTCCCACCAGCACTGCCGTCCGCCTCCTTCAGGGGTTGTCCCCAGCGTCTAGTCTACACTCCCCTCCCCCCACAGCTCTCCACCCCAACTGCACCTAGGCTGTGCTTCTTGCCATGTCCCTGTCTAGTTCAGAGACTTACCCTCTTTGCTGACAGGAGCAAGCAAGACTGGAAGAAGCCAGTGATCTGAAGAACTGGCAGTTGGGGAGACTTTTATAGGGCAGCAATGAGGCAATTTAATGGCATCTAAATGAAGCACCAGCGATCACGAGGACAAGGGCTGGTGTTGCATTGGCAAGATTCCTCCCCAGTATGCCTGGCTCTTCAGTCAGAGGCAGGGCATGTCTCTACTTGATATTGGATTTTTCCCAAACCTGAGATAAAGGATCCTGTTGCCTTCCTCAGGAAACAAGTCAATCTCCTTTTCCTAGAAGTTATGGGTGATGCCTATGTGATCTGTCTCTAATGAGGCTGTTTCTAGGTCACTTGGGTCTTCAAGGACTTGCCAAAGATATGATTAGACTCTCAATTTTTCATACACTGTGCCCAAAGCTACACTGTCTTCCCAGACTAAAGCAAGTGTCCTTTCTGAGGGCTTTCATGGTGGCTTCTACAGGTCTTGGTTGCTGAGCACAAAGAGTTTGGCCCAGTGTTCTCTGGCTCAATAGGGCACAGGGCCCCCAAGAAATGGTTTATTCCATGCACTATCAAGTTATTCTAAGGAAACTAGGTGTACACTTGATAATTGCAGACCCGAGGCCTCATGTCTAGACTCTCTCCTCAGCCTTCTCATGCCTTGTGACCTCCCCCATCCTCACCTTCCTAGACCTCACTATCAGGCTCTGATCCCCCAAAACCCAGGATAGGGTGAATTCTAGCCAGATGAACACTGTGTGATGGCAATAACAATAGAATCTAACATTTAATTGAATACTTTTTATGCACCAAACAATTCACAAGGCAGATACATTTACAGGTGGATGCAGTTGAGGCCCTGAAAAACTAAGGGAATCACCTGTTGTCACAAAGCAAGTAAGTAGGGAAGCCAGAACGCACATGTAGGCAGTCTGCTTCCACAGACCATGATCTTTGCCACTATAATATGTTGCCTTTTATTTCTAAACGTAGCACTGTCCTGGAATCCTTGCCTCCTGCCTTTTCCCTATGCAGTAGATGCAGAAAGAGACGTGGAAATATTATCTATTGGGCATTCACTATGTGCCAAATACTGTCCCAGCCTCTTTACTTGTGTCATTTCGTTTGTTCTTGAAAAACTCTGTGAGGTAGACTTCATTAGCTCCATTTTTACAGAAGAGGAAACTGTCTGTCTCAGCAAAGTCAGCCTGTCAGTAGTAACAGAGGATATTTGAGCCTACCTAGTTCCAGAGTCCATACTGTTCCCACTGAGCCTCACTGGGTTGCCTACTGGGGAAGGTTTGTCTTGAGTCTGATCATGGCACTGGTCCCAAATCTCACTCCTTCGGACCAGCCAGCCCAGGCCCCACCATGGCCATGTAGCTTCTTGGGTAAACACTGCTACTATATTTGTACATAATGAATCTTCATATTCCCTAGGACCCATAAGCCCTAAGGCTCCCAAATAAACAAAGAAAATGCAAATCCCCACTAGTTCACAAACTAGTTCAAGTCAGGCCTTGCAAAATCTCTGAACATTCTTTTATATCTCTCTAACCCATCCCGCAATGACCCCAGGGTGTGGTAACTACCAATCTACTCCATTTTTACGAGATCAACGAGATCAACTTTTATAGATTTCACATATGGGTGAGATCATGTGGTATGTCTTTCTGTGCCTGGCTTATTTCACTTAGTATAGTATCTCCCAGGTTCATCCATTTTGTTGCATATGACAAGATTTCCTTTATTATGGCTGAATAGTATTCAACAGGGCATATTTACACCACATTTTCTTTACCCATTTCCTCCATTGATGGATAGTTAGGTTAATTCCATATCTTGGCTATTGTGAATAATGCTACAATAAACATAGAGGTACAGATATCCCTTTGATATACTGATTTCCTTTCCCAGTATCACCCTACTGGATACCTCAACTACCCAGTAGTAGGAATGTTGGATCATCTAGTAGTTCCATTTGTAGTTTTTAAAGAAATCTTCATACTCTTTTCCATAGTAACTGTATTAATTTACATTCCTATCAACAGTGTATAAGAGTTCTCTTTTCTCTGCATCCTCACCAGCATTTGTCATATTGTGTTTTTTTGACAATAGCCATTCTACCAGGAGTAAGGTGGTATCTCATTGTGGTTTTTGATTATCATTTACCATATTATTACTATGTTGAGCATTTTTTTCATATACATGTTGATCATTTGCAGGTCTTCTTTTGAAAAATGTCTATTCAGGTCCTTTGCCCATATTTTTTGAAACGGGGTCTCACTGTGTTGCCCAGGACAGTCATGAATTCCTGGGCTCAAACAATTCTACCTCTACCTCCCAATTAGCTGGGGCTATAGGCATAAGCCACCATGCCCAGCTGCCCATTTTTTAATTTGGCTATTTGTTTTCTTGCTATTGAGTTGTTTAAGTTTCTTATACATTTTGGATATTAACCCCTTATCAGATGTATAGATTGCAAATATTTTCACCCATTCTATAGGATGCCTCTTCACTCTGTTAGTTGTTTCCTTTGCTGTACAGAAGCTTTTTAGCTTGATGTAATCCCACTTGCCTATTTTTCCTTTTGTTGTCTGTGCTTTTGAGGTCATATCCAAAAAATTATTGCCCAGACCAATGTCATGGAGGTTTTCCCCTGTGTTTTCTTCTAGTAGTTTTATAATTTTGGATCTTACAGTTACATTTTTAATCCGTTTTACTTGATTTTTGTATATGGTATGAGATAAAGGTCTTATATAAATCTTCTGCATGTAGATGTTCAGTTTTCCCACGACCATTTATTGAAGAGATTGACCTTTCCTCATTTGTGTGTTCTTGGCACCTTTGTCAAAGATCAATTGACAGTAAATGTGTGGATTAATTCCTGGATTTTATTGGTCAGTGTGTCTGTTTTTATGCTAGTACCATTTGTTTTATTATAGCTTTGTAGTATATTTTTAAGTTAAGGAAAGTGATTCCTCCCTGCCCCTGTACAATTTGGAGAAAGCAAGAAGGGGAGGTTCTGTCTCAGGACTGGAATGTGTCCTGATCCCTCCTGTCATTCCTGCCTCTGATAGGCTTATCGCATCGACAGCTGCCTCTATGAAACCCGCCAATCTCTCTCACTAAAGGACAGGGGTAAGTGAGGTGAGGAGGGATATGGTTCCAAGCCATTCCATTCCTGCTCTCCTAAGTGTCCCACCTCAGCTCATACCCAGGCTTGGTGTTTTATGGAGGAATGGGGAAAGGAACAATTCCTATTGGGGTTACACATTTCACATAGGATAGCTTGTCAAATTTAGTCCTCACAGTGTCACAAACAAACAAACAAATAAATAACATGCCTAACCTCACACAGGTAGAAGTGGTAGAGCCAGAATTTGAACTTAGATAAAAGAGACTTCAAGTTTTATTGTTTTTCCACCACAACATACTATTTGTGGTGTTAAAACCCATGATGTTCTAGGAACCATACCTTTCAGTCACCTAATAGGCAGTCATTACAAAACCCTCTATATTATATGTAGGATGGGATAGCCCAACTTTATAGGGAAGAAAATTCCTAGAAGAACAGCCATTTTAGGGCATGTCAACAAAACAGGGGAGAGATAGTTCCAGGCACCAACAGGAACACCTGAGCTCCTGTCCTGATTCCACCACTACCCCAGCCTGTGATTCCACAGTGCCCTGCTGTCTCTTGGCCTTTTCTCTTCCACTCTAAAGAGGTTAGATGAGGCCCCTTTTGGTATGACACTCTATGATTGTAGGGGCCTGTTCCACAAAGAAAATGTGTACTTCCAAAACCTAGCTGTTCATAGAGTTATTCCCACTAAACTATAACTTTCAAGATTTGGTTACTAGAGACATATTTACTGTATATCATCACAGGACTGGGGAAACACTGACTGAACACATGAGTGAATGAGTGAATGGATGGGGATGCCTTACATTGGCAGTACAGCCCAAACCCATCTCCTTCCTCCACGTGATGATCCCTGTCCTGCCATTAGCCAAGCTGGGCGTCGCATGCCATCTGTGAGCTCTGATTGGCTCATTTCCTGCTCTGTAGGGCCATGCTCTCACTAATGAGTTTGACATCTGAAGACAGCACTAACATCCCTGGTGAGAGATACTG